AGAAATTATGAATGTGATGAACAACAATGTGCTGGCACAAACACGTTTTCTTTTATCGCCGAAAAAACGGTTCAAGTCGTTGTCGTTGTCGTTTTTAATATGAATGACAAAAATGTATAAAAATAAACATAAATTATACGCTCAAAGAAAAATGCCAGTAAGCATATTTTGTATACTTTTACGGTAGACACATACTCAATAATTCAGATTTCGATTTTGATGAGGAAACCATTTTTTTTTTTTTGTAATATCCGACTATCGATCTTCAGCAATCGATAGTCGAGTCGAGTTTCTTATACAAAATAACTTATTTACTAAGCATAAACAAATATATTAGTCATCGTTCTAAGTTGCATCATTCAACGCAGGACCAAAAAGTCCACTGTGGGACTAATTCTGTTTTTCCAATAATTTCGGAAAAAATCCATTATAAAAGAAGAGCCAAAAAAAAGAAGACAAGTGTATCGAAGTTTTGAAAGTTTACATCGAGAGTTTTCCAGAAAAAAGTTATTTGTGGAATTCTAGCGTGTCAGTATGATTTCTTTATATTTGGTAGGTCCAGGTCTTCGTATAGCCCCAATATATCGGTACCTCCTTATATGCGGTATTTTGACGCTAAATTATTCACCGGATCTTTTCAAGTTTCGTATTTGAATATTGTAATGGACTATGACAAAAGAGGCCCATGCAGGCCCACGTCTTCGTATAGACCCCAATATAACAACTATACTCAGCATTTTTATGATTTTAACAGCATTTTTAATGATTTTTTTTTTTTTAATTTTCCAAATTCGTTGCAAATGGTGGAGGGTATTCATAGTTGTGCCGAACTTACTGCATTTTCACTTGTTTTTGATAGATTCAAAGATATGGACCTGACGTATTTGAGTAATACGGACGTACAAAACATTTCACCATTGTGGGGAAGTTGAATATGTGTGTACACTACGCGAATTTTAGGTAACGCTGTTATGTAATTTTCCATTTGATATTGAACGAGAATTGAGGCCCAGGATGTGGTAAAATATTCGGCAAGTGACTAATAATATTTAGAATTATTTTTTTTAATATTCATACGACATGAACAGTCACACAATAACTTACTGACACCTGATCGAAACGCAACATTATCTAAAGCCAAGAATTAGACAAAACAAGTAAAAAAGCTTCAAGTTCGGCCGGGCCGAATAACCTCTACCATTTGGAACTAATTTGACAATTTTCACAAAAATAAAATCCGTTTAAAATTCTGTTAAAATCTTAAAAATACCAAATATAGTCATCATATTAGGGTATAAACGACGACATGCATAGGCAACTTTTGTCATAAGCCATTACAATATTTAAATGCGAAACCTGAAAAAAATATCAGTGAATAAGCTAAAATCATCAATGTAAGGAGGTACTATTATATAGGGGCTTTACCAAAATGTGGACCTGCACAGACACGTTTCTGTCATAGGCTGTAGTATCCCTTACGAACTTCAAATGAAAAATTTGAAACAATTCCGGTAAAAAATGTCTCTAAAATCATCAATGTACCGACTATGGGGAGGTACCGCTATATGGGGGTATACAAAGACGTGGACCTGCACTGACAATTTTCTGCCAAAGGCTGTAGTATTCGTTACGAACTTCAAATACAAAATTTGAAACAATTCCGCTGAACAATGTCGCTAAAATCATCAAAGTACCGAATATCGGGAGGTACCGTTATATGGGGCTATACGAAAACGTGGGCCTGCACCGAACATTTTTTGTCTGTATTACCCATTACGAACTTCAAATACCAAATTTGAAACAATTCCGGTGAATATTGTCGCTAAAATCATCAAAATACCGAATATCGGGAGATACACTTATATGGGGGCTATACCGTTATATGGGGGCTATACCAAACTGCAGACATAATATACATTTAAGTAAAATTTTTTCAATCTACTTCATTTCGTTCAGAAGCTAGAGTGATTTCCAGAGACGTACATATGGATAGACGGACAGACGACGTAGACATAGAATTTTATGCTGATCAAGAATATATATACTTTGTGGGGTCTAAAATGTATATTTTCAGGAGTTACACACGGAATAATAGACTTAATATACCCTCCATACTATGGTGGAGGGTATAAAAAGTTGATAATAGTTTTCAAAACTCAGTTTCTACATATGTATATACGTAGTGCTAATTCAAATGGTATTATGCCCTAATTTCACACTTCCATTATTAATGCTTTACATCTGAACAAAAAATGATAATTTTCAATAGCGTGAAAAGAACATGTTCCCATTAAATTATTTCATTTAATTTTCGTTAACGCTAATCTAATTCCAATTGTAGTTAATAATTTCATGGCCAACAAAGTTTTCCTTGGGCCCAAGAAGCGTAAGCCGCCCATTGAAGTGATCTACTTAGTTTACAATCTCCTCGGGTATCGATAAAGAAATCTCCAAGCAAACCACAAAAACAACAAATCTTCAATTTTAATCGTCGAATAGTTTTAAATTAATAATTGAAATGTTCACACCATTATAATGCAAATTTTGACTGGATGATGATAACTCGATATAGTTCGGTGATTTACCTAGTTCTTAGTTTTTTTTCGTTTGTCTTGTTTTTTGAAGTCTCATTCATTTATCCGTTTGTCCGTCTATCAGTCTGTCTGTCTGTTTTTGTGTATTTTTCATTGAGTTTGTGTTTATTTTTCTAACAATTTGTTGTACCGCATAGATCGTTACTGCTGTTTTTGTTGTTTTTTTTTTATTTAACGCATATTATTGCCGGCATTGTTATTGAATATTTAATAAAGGCCAATAAAAATCCAGTTACTTTTTATAACCGTGTTTTGTTTTTGTTAGTTATTAATAACAAACTTGTCTATGAATTTTCGCTTGAACACACAATCGCACAACGACAAATGAAATGCATTGAAGAATTCCATATGTCGAATAATTTATTTGCGGAATTTATTTTTTTTAATTTTGAGAATATTTTTGATTTAAAAATTAAAAAAATGAATCTCAATTAGTCCTGAAGAGAATTTTTGCCAGAAACCATGATAAGAAGGAAAATATATTTTCATAGATATGATAGGAGTGTTTCCGAAATATGACCAGAACAATTATTCTTGTAACTAACATCATTTGTTTAGGTCCATGCTGCTTATAAACTGTGGGCATAGAATACCATCAAGCGGTTCGATTTTCCCGTTCATACCCCTCAAGAAGAATTAGGTCATTCATCTGGTTAGATAGTTATTAGGTTAGGTTAGGCTGAAAAGAGTTGCGAAACAATTCGCCGCATGCCCTGATGGGCATACACTTAAGCCAATATAGGACTGTTGTGCGCTCTAGACTAAAGGTTTTCCAAAGAAGACGGGCAGTTTACAGTCAGTTATATTTGAAATTCAGTTGCCTTAATGAAATTCTTTAATTGTTTTACATCATTAACCATGATCTGATTAAGGTCTGGCATGGAGTCGCTCCCTAAGAATTGGGATCTGATATTTGCAAACGCTGGGCATTGGCAGGGAAAATGTTTCAAAGTTTCGTCATCTTCCCCGTATGCCCTGAATACATATGCTATAATCTGCATATCCTATCTTGTACAGATTAGCTTGTAGGCCCATGTGTCCCCTAATGGGGCACTAATCTCCTTCTTATGTAGTAAGAAAAGTCTCTTCGTTTTTTATCTCATTGGGGTCGCCCCATAGGATTTTTTGGCTTTCTCTACGTCCTCATTGTTTCATAGGGATATGTGGGCGTTTTTTTGCCCATGTCTTTAATAATAGACGTGATGCATTAAGCGGCACTGTATTGTCTAAGTTTAATGTTTCTAATTCCTTGCCTGATTTTGTCGAGAGAGTTCGCTATTTCGTTACCTCTAACTCCCGCATGATCTGGTACTCATATAATTATGGTAGCCGATATTGTGTCTGGACCTCCGTTTAAAGGATCGTATTGTAATCGGACAAGCAGAAAGAAGTTACGGTATTTTGTTCTTCAATAAAAAATCCCTATCCCGCTCTTCCCCCTGGCACTGAGCCGTCTGTATAACAACAGTTTCCAGTCGGCATTTGTGGTAGGAATCCGTCAATTGTTTCAGATACCCGGTCCGATACAAAGTTTTCTATTGATTCTGTTACCTGTAAGATTTTTTGATGGAATGTAACGTGGCTTTTACTTATCCACTCGTCCGTCGCCCTTTTTATTCTTTTACATTTGCGAAGCAGAAAATGAAGCGAAGACCTGGTTGTGCTTTGGTCTTAAAAGTCCTTAAATAACCAAAACAAAAATACAGTGGATTTATGTTTGGTCTACGAAACAATACACCACCTTGCGTAGAGGTCAATAGATTGCGAACGAAATAAAACTCTACTTGTTTTGATTAAATTCTTCTTTGCTTGTTGATCAGGAGTAGGATCAAATACTAAGGCATTTCCAATGCATTTTCCCATCGGAGGAAAACGACACCCAACATAATCGTGAGCAGCTCAGTCGGAGCGTAATTCTAAACCCTGTCCATAGCCGCATTATAAATATGTTTTTTAGAAAAAATTCCACATAAAGCTGCTTTGCAACCTGCGCCTAAATAACGCATTTTACGGAGATCTGTCATTTATTTGAAGTATAATCAATGGAATTGGCAATTATATCATGTGTTCGTTTGCTTTAAAAATGCTTTTAGACTGAATCTTGAATTCTAAGTTAATCAATAATAATAATAATTTATGTACAAGAACTTATTTTGCCAATGCTGCATTAGCTGGTGGCGCCCAACATAAATAATAATGTATATAATAGCATTGGAAGACTGCTAGTCCCTTCCTTTAAGTGGCTTTGACTGAACACATCGATGTCTGTGTGTGGATCATAACCTTTATACATCAGCTTACATGCCGCCCATACCCATTTTACTTCGTCAAGGAATATTATTAACCTCTGTAGCTTTAAAGTTAAGGCGATATTAAAAGAAATAAAACAAATTGGCATTAACTTACCTTTTCATTTCGTGTTAAAAATTCCCAAATGGGTATCGATGAGGCTTGAGCCGACATTTGCCTAAAGGAACTGTGGCCGGCCACAGTTAGGAATAGGCAAAGTGCCAAAGAAACTTTCGCTGCGTTTAACTTTATAGCCATGGTGATGTTGATGGTGATGAATAAACTATAGTTTATGTTGCTGGTTTATTGGTGTTGTGGTTGTTGGTTTTGTTGTTGTATTACTTGAACTTTGTTATCGTAGGTTGTTGTGGGATTTTTTATCTTTCAAATATGGGGCCAAAGTTGGATGTAGGCAAAAAGACACACTCACACACAAATACACCAAACAATTTTTAAACAATAATAATATATTGTATAATGAAATAACAAAACAAAAGATGTTTTTGTGTTTTTATTTTTTTTTGCTTAAATATGGAGTCAAGCTGAAAACTTTCTTTTTTGTATTTCTTTTCAACGCCTTTGTTGTCACTCGATGAACTGACCAACGAACAGCGAGCGATTGATGAAAACCGAAAAAAATAAATTCAATTGACTGATGAAATCGCCTGAAGTTGTATCTCAATTTTTGGATTGCTGCTGTCGACAGCCCACTGACAGATTGAACTGACGACAAGTGATGTTTATGATTTCAAGTCAGGTAATATTCAAATTAAATGAACTGAAAAAAAAACGTTCACTTCAGTTGTTATTGTTGTTATGGTTTTTCTAAAGATAATTTTTTGTTTTATTTTAAATTTGTCAGCAACAATAGTTCCGTTTATTTAATGGAATTCATATGCATCTATCGATTAGTTTGTCAAAATATCAAAACACGCACTCGATGCAGATCAACACACGTTTGTTTGTAAATATTTTATTTTTGTAATTCTCTTGCAATTCAGTTCACTTTTTTGTTTGATTTTTTTCCAAAATCTATTTATTTTTTATCACTCGCTCGGATATTTATTTGGTTGCTTTTGTTTTTTTTTTTTTTTGCTTCTTGTGTAAATTCGAACGTCGTTATGTGAAGAAGACTCTGTCTGTTGTGAATCTTCTCGAGCTTCGAAACTTTTATTTATAGTCTCTCTCTTTGCAGTTCTCGCCAACAAATATTGGTCTCAATTACTCTCTCAATCATGGCTTAACATTGTAGTTGTTTTGGTTACACATTGGGCGCCGTGCCTGTTTTAAGCCGTTCATTGCATGATTTGCTTTTGTTTTGGCCTTTTTTATTGGGAGTGAGTTAAAGAGAGCCAATGAAGATGTCTCAATTTTCACTGATGACTTCGGCACAGGGTTGCCAAGATCGTTCTAGCAAATACAATACTTGAACATCATGAACGGGAAAATCAAATGAAAATAAACCAAAGACTGTACAACGGGACCAACGAAACTAAACAAATGGGCTCGAAACAGTCAAATATGACGTTCAGTGTGGTCAAAGGTAAATCTAGGGAATGTTTTAGTGAAACAATAAAAAAAGTAATAAAGGGTGATTTTTTTAAGAGATACGGGAATGTTAAAAAAACGTCTCAAATGGTCCATCTGCTTAGTCCATTTTTGCCATGCTCTTACATACATATCGGCCGGCATCTCACGAATAAATACTTCAATTTTGTCTTTTACTTTGTCAATTGAAGCAGGCTTGTCTGTATAGACATAAGCTTTAACATATCTCCATAAAAATAATTTTCCAGAAAAAAAGTTATTCGTGATGAAATTCAAGCGTGATAGTGTGATTTCTTTATATTTGCTGGAAAACCACAAGTGGCTATCATTAGAGCACTCCAGCATTTAAATGTGAATAAATCTTTTAGGTCTCGTAACATCGCTCGTTACCGTAATAATGGTAGCGTAGCCCGCCGTCAAGCAAGTGAACGGAAGAAAACAGCAAAATCAGTAGAAATGGTTCGAAAAGTAAAGAAGCGACTTGATCGAAACCCGCCTCGCAGTGGCCGAAAAATGGCTCTTGAGCTGAACATATCGCATTATTCTATTCGGCAAATATTGAAAAATGTGCTCGGGGTAAAGCCATTGAAATTCAAAAAAGTGCAAGAACTTAAAAGATTTGCTTCGCTTGGCCGAAAGTTCTGAACTGCCGAATTTGGTTTTCTCCGATGAGAAAACATTCGTTGCCCAGCAGATTGTAAACAAACAAACTGATAGTGTTTACTTGCCGAAGAGGTCAATAAACCTACGGTTGGCTCAAGCGCCGGTCATGGTGATGGTGTGGCCGACATAACACATCGCTCTCCGCTCGTAGTAATCGACCGTGGCATCAGAATAAATACCGAATATTATCGCGAAAGTATTCTGGAGGGTTTCCAGAGCACTATGGTCACCAAAATCTTCGGATACCAATACGTTGGACTATTGTGTTTGGAGTATTTTGGAAAGCAAGGTTGGCACTAAAAAATACCAAGTGTCGATCACCTCAAGCAAGCGCTTCGCCGGGAATGGGCCGAAATATCGCAGAGCAACATTCGGGCAGCGTGTGACGGTTTCATTGGCCGTTCGAAGGCCATAATTCGTGCTAAAGGTGACCAATTCGAACAAATCTAGACTTATTCTAAAATTAGATGCTATTTCCGACATTTTTTGAATTCATTCAATAAAATTTAAAAAAAAATGTAAAAATTTTGGCGTTAGTCTTTGTTGCAGTTTATTGTTTATCTGTATGAACCCCACTTAGATAGTATTTTTAGTTTGGTCTACCTAATTTAAAAGATTTTTCTGTTACTCGAGGACCCCTACACCGGCTTCGTAAATTAAAGAACTATTTTTTATGGCTATTTGTGACAAAACATATAATATTTATCTCCGTCAGGCGTTTTAAGATATTAGTGGCTTCGTTCTCTATCAAGAGCCTGTTTTCCACGATCTGATTATGTTGTCTCAAACCAGTTTTGCCATAGCTCTCATATATATTTTCGACCGATATCATATATTTGATGCATCGATCACATTTTTTATGTCAAATTTTACTGAAATTTGGAATGTGTGATGAAATTTGGTCTAAGATTTTATTTGTCAAATAATTTTGAAATCGGTTCAAATTTGTATATAGCTCCCATATATATTTTCGGCCGATTCATGTATTTGATGCACCAAACAAGCTGTGTATCCCCAATTTCGATGAAATTTGAAATGTGTAAGATAATTCAGAACAAATATAAATATGCTAAATTGTATTGAAATGGGTTCAGATTTGGATATAGCTCATATATATTTTCGGCCGATTTCATGTATTTGATACACCAAACACGATATGTATGACAGATTCCAATGAAATTTGGAATAAGTGGCGGAATTTGGTACAAACATACATGTTGGCAAATTATATTGAGATCGGTTTAGATTTGGATATTATTTTATTAAGAAACATATTCCTACCAGTATATACGTTCATATCTATTGCCGTTAAACTAAGCATGCAGTTTCCTGTACGCTTAGCATTTGCTATGACAATCATTAAATCCCAAAGACAAACTTTTCGTGCATTTGGTCTAAATTTGACATGTTCCTGCTTTTCTCATGGTCAGCTGTACCTGGCAGGTTTTCGCGTTGGTAGACCGAGAGACTGGTTTGTTTACGCTCCTTTACATTTATATCTTAAAGCATTACAACAAATAAGTTTTTTATACTTTATATATAATATATTTTCAATTAGTTTTATTTTTTTTTGTACCTGGCAGGTTTTCGCGTTGGTAGACCGAGAGACTGGTTTGTTTACGCTCCTTTACATTTATATCTTAAAGCATTACAACAAATAAGTTTTTTATACTTTATATATAATATATTTTCAATTAGTTTTATTTTTTATTTAAAAACCACAAAATATTCCTATATACAATTTTGAATGCATTTCAGATCAAAAGCGCACCGGGTTCAGCTAGTTATTTTATAAAGCATGGCAACCTTTTTGTGGGAAAATGATTCACTTGCTCCCACCTCTTCTCGAATGTCTCTTGAATCTCTTTAAAATGGCGAGAGAAATTTCCACAAAACAAAATAAAAACAAAAATAATTCTATGAGTCTATAGAGCCGCATTTTAAGCTCCATGTCGGCCTAAGGGAAGAGTGCAAACGGGTAGGAGGAAGCCTAGTTTTGTGTTTATTTAGTTTTTGTTGTCTTTCTCAAAACTTGTCCTACTCGTATTTAGAAATTGCATTCGAATTTAAAGCAACAACATCTACAATAGCAAAAACACGGTAAAATGGGTAAAAATAAACATTTTATGGCAGTTCAAAGTCAAGTTTTCTACTTTTTTTCAGTTTGAACATTTTTTTGGGTTGTGTTGTTGTTGCTGCTGCTGCTGCTCTTTGGTTGTGGTTTAATTGTGTGATCGTGAAATGTAGATTAGCTCACTGAGTTTAGATAATATCGATATGGCTGCGATTTAGAATTTGTTGATGGTTTGGTTTAACCCATACGCGGGTGGGGAGACTATTGTGTATAGAATAGAGAAGAGGAGAGTTTAACATTTGCATTGGATGGAGTTTAGGACATGTGACATTTGACGTATTGATTAAATGCTAGTAATCGATTCGCCTAAATATTTCACAATGAATGGTCACAATTTAAATATAATTTAAGGTTTCTCTAGTCCTCCGGATGCATATATAAAAGTTTCTCTGTCCCCGAGGATCACAAAATGTTTAAAGTTGTGTACCTAGCTTTTCCCCCAAACATTTCCAATTTTCCTCTCTCCGATTCCCATGCGTCATTCAAATTGTGTTATAAATTATGTTTTAATTAGCGTGTCGTTAATTTTATAAAATTACAAAAGAATAACAAAAATCAAACCCCACCAAACTGATTGTTGAATTACAAAAACGAATATTTGAATATTAATTTCAGCACAGTACACACTCACACACATTCCCATCGAACGACACCCAAAATTTGTATAAAATTTTGGAATTTCCCCCAAACGTAAAACGTTTTTTCCTCTTGCCATTAAAAATTGAATTGAAAGTTCTTAAACAAACAAATTCTTTTGAGTTTTTTTTTTTATTTTGTGAAACATTTACATAAATCATTTTAAGTTTATAGATGTATATGGGAATTAAATAAAACAATTGGAGGGGTTTTCTTATTCTGAAAAAATATCTAGAAGAATGTGTGGTTTACCCAATAATTGTAGCATAGTATTAAAAGAGGGGCCTGAGATCGCCACATATCCATCTGAATCTAACCCAAAAAGTATGTTGCATTATTCTAAAACTATAGATAGTCTTTAGAGATTACCGGATTTAGTAAAGGCAGTGGCTTATTGTTTATATTGCTTATACGTCAAATAAATCCTCATAAAGCAGATTAACCCGACAAAATTACAAGTGTTAAGATACTATTATTGTCGTTTAAGATTTTTCAGAAGTATACAAGGTGAAGGAAAAGCACAGGGTGAGATAAAAAAAAAAAACTACAACAAAGTCAAACGCCATAATTTTTACATTTTTTTAAATTGTATTGAATGAAAGCAAAACACGTCGGAAACAGCATCAAATTTTAGATTTGTTCGAATTATGGCCCTCAAACGGCCAATGGAACCGTCACACGCTGCCCGAAAGTTGCTCTGCACTTAGACATTTAAAATAAGTTTAGATTTATTCGAATTGGTCACCTATGGCAAGAATCATGGCCTTCAAACGGCCAATGAAACCGTCACACGCTGTCCGAAGTTGCTTTGCGATATTTTGGCCCATTCCCGGCAAAGCGCTAGCTTGAGGTGATCGACACTTTGATATTTTTTAGTGCCAACCTTACTTTTTAAAATACTCCAGACATAATAGTCCAACGGAAAGGTATCTGGAGATTTTTGTGCGCTGGAAATGATGCGAGGAACCACATTTTGTAACCATTCTTGGGTGGCACGTGCTGAGTGCGATGGAGCTTAGTCCTCTTGGAATGTCCAAAATATGCGGCCAAAATGTTTGCGCACCCAAGGCTTTAATACACCCTCCAGAATATTTATATAATATTCGGCATTTATTCTGATGCCACGGTCGATTAATACTAGCGGAGAGCGACCATCGGCTGT